ATGAATTATCTTAAGATTGTAGAATATTTCACTGTATGAGATTTTAGGTTTTAGACCAGTGGTTCTTAAACGTTTTGCTTATGAGGCAATGGACAGTCACTGATTAAAGAAAGACAAAGTAGTATTTTATTGGTGAAAAGTGTCTTATTTAATATGGAGAATAGTAGAAATTAGTTTCTACAAGTAAAATTCAATGTAACCCAAATATGTGGATTAGTTTTAAAAATGTTTTAAGTTTACATCCTCTACTCATGCAGAAGGAAGGATGGTATGCATCCTTTTCCTTTTTGTATAAGAATCTAAACTAAACTCCCCAGCCAAGCTGTATATACCTTAAACTTTGGATTCTGTTTGCCTAATGCTGGCTTTCTGAATGACAGAGCCTCCCTCTTATATCCGATATTTTTCTGAAGTGCGTCTTTTATGCAAGACGTCGTGAGAGAATTTAGGAGGGCTATGGTTTTATTGAGCTCACAGATCAGGTTTCATGAAGTTTCTTGTGAGCCTGCCCATCTATACATGTTTGGTTAATAATGCCCATAAGATTGGCAAAATTTATTCTGAAACTTGCTGACTTACTTTCCTGTAATTGTTTTCCAGCTATGACGGGGGCATGGGAAAATAGATAACCCTTTGTCATCTCAGTACATCTTTGGCTGCTCCTGTGATCTTCAAGTCACACACCACACTAGACCACACACACACACACACACACACTGCACACACTGTTGTTGGCTTAGGTAAATTTATAAGGAGTAGTAAAATTCATACCATGAACCAAAGTTGCTACTGATTGGAAAGTTTGGGAATGTGAAACAACTAATGAATTCTATCAAGTAACCAGTATAACTTGGTTTGTTAATATAGTTCACTGAAGAAATAAATTATTTTGTCATTGAACATTTCTTAAGTTTTCATACAAAGGAATCAAGATGGTATTCAGTTCAATTTGATGGCTATATTTATTTATCTCTGAGAATCAAACACTACTGAGAGTAAGAGATGCTTAATTTTTTAATAGTTTATTTATGTTTCAGACAGAAACAGAGCATGAGTGGAGTAGGGGCAGAGAGAGAGGGAGACACAGAATCTGAAGCAGACTCAAGGCTCTGAGTAAGCTTTTAGCACAGAACCCGATGCGGGGCTCAAACCCACAAACCTTGAGATCATGACCTGAGCCGAAGTCGGATGCTTAACCAACTGAGACACACAGGCGCCCCAATAGATGCTTAATATTAAACAGAAAATTCAGAACAGTTTTAATTACCTTGTATCTGTAAAATATATGTACATCAGGATGTATAACAACATTTTATCAGATTTATAGACGTAAGCTAATCAGTTTGACATGTGACACAGAACAATGACACTTATTCCATTACTTAGTGGGGTCACACATTCAGAGTTATCCAAAGTTATCCAAAGGTATCAGTCAATTTGTTTACTTATAGCCAAAAGAGATATGGAAGACAATTAATGCATATGTGTGTGTGTGAATAAGAAAAGAATGTAATATTGCACAGGTGTCACTCCCAATTTAGGGCTCCATACCTTGACCAGGACCAGTCTTCTCATAGTGTGGTCCATGTTACCAACATCACAATCATTTGGTCTCTTCTTGAAGGTACAGATTTCAGGATCTCATCTTCAACCTAAGCATTCAAGTTTCTAGGTGTGGAGTCTGGGAATTGTAATTTAGCAAGTATTCCATAAGGTTCAGCTGCACAGTAACAACTGAGAGTCGTGAATTAGAGCTCAAAAGTGTTCAAGAAACCCAGTAGAAAGAGTACAAAGAGATAGGGTCAGCAACTCCTCCCTACTAGGTGAGAGAAATCTGCTAAATGCAGGGGAAAAGTTACTGATGTTCATGGAGGTTTGATAAAAATTTTACCCCAAAACTGATAGAAGATACTTCTTTCAGATGTCTGGATATTCCTTTTTATGGTGAATTCAAAAGTCATTTGGGTAAAATCCATAAAATCCTTGAGGCAGTTTCCTTCTATTTCTCTCTATGTAAATGAAATAAAATTTCACAAAAGTTGACTATAAAAACAGTGAGGATATAAATCAATTTTAAAAGGTGTTCTTTTTTATGGCTGAGGAGCCACATCTTTACCCTTGTATCTATTGATGGACACTTAGGTTCCTCCCATACCTTGGATATTGTAAATAATGCTGCAATAAAAATAAGGGTGCATATACATTTTTAAAAAATTAGAGGGTTTGAGTGGGGGAGTGGAACAAAAGGAGAGGGAGGAAGATAACCTTAAACAGGCTCCATGCCCAGTCTGGAGACCGACATGGGGCTTGATCTCATTACTGTGAGATCATGACCTGAATCAAAATCAAGAGTAGGATGATTAACTAACTGAGCCATCCAGGCGTCCAGGAGGGCATATATAATTTCAATTTAGTGTCTTCGTTTTCTTTTGGTAACACTCTATAGTGAGATTAGGGGATTATATGGTACTTTTCTTTTTATTTTATCAAGGATCTTCATACCGTTTTTCATAATGGATGAATGTTCCTGTCAACAGTGCATAAGGGTTCCTTTTCCTTCACATCCCTGTCAACTCTTGTTATTTCTTGCCTTTTTCACACTAGCCATTCTGACAGGTGTAGGGTGATACCTCATTGTGGTTTTTATTTGCTTTTCCTGATGATAAATGATAATCATCTTTTCACGTATCTGTTTTCCATCTGTACATCTTCTTAAGAAAATATTCATGTTCTCTACCTATTTTTAATTGGATTATTTGTTTGTCCTGGTATTGAATTCTACAAGTTCTTTATATATTATGGATATTGACCTCTTATCAGACATATAATATACAAATATCTTTTCCCGTTTATTAAGTTGTATTTTTGTTTCACTGATCATTTCCTTCACTGTGAAAAAGAGTTTTATTTTAGTGTGGTCCCAATAATTTATTTTGCTTCTGTTTCCTTTACCTGAGCAGTCATACCTAGAATAATGTCAAAGAGATTACTTTCTATGTTTTTCTCTAGGAGATTTATCTTTTCAGGTCACATATTTAGGTCTTCAGTGCATTATGAGTTTAATTTTGTGTGTGGTCCAGTTTTATTCTTTTGCACGTAGCTCTCTAGTTTTTCTAGCACCATTTGTTGAATAGACTTTTTCTCATTGCAAATTCCTGTCTCCTTTATCACAGATTGATTGATCATGTAAGTGTGCATTCATTTATGCCCTTTATATCCTTTTCTATTGATCTAAATGTTTATTTTTATGCAAGTATCATGCAGTTTTGACTGTTATATCTTTATAGTGGATTTTGAAATGTGATGCAATATTTTGAGCTTTCTTACTTCTCAGAATTGTTTTAGCTATTTGGGTTCTTACAAATTGCCATACATATTTTAGCATTTTTTATTCTAGTTTTGTGGAAAATTCTATTGGGTATTTTGAGAGAGATTACATTGTATTTGTAAATTGTTTTGGGTAGTATGGACATTTTAACTATATCAACTCTTTTAGTCCATAAGTATGGAATATCTTTCCATTTTTTGTTTGTTTCTTGTTTAATTTCTTTTAACAGTGTTTCACAGTTTTTAGCATATAGTTCTTTCACCTCCTTGGTTAAGTTTACTCCTACATATTTTATTCCTTTAGGTGCAATTCTAAATGGAATTATTGTTTTCTCTTCTGGTTGCTTTGCTATTAGTTAATTTTAATTAAAGATTTCTGTGTATTAATTTTTTATTCTGTGACTTTACTGAATTTGTTACTTTTAATAGTTTTCTGTTGGACTCTTTAGTTTTTTAATGTATAGTATTATGTCATGTGCAAATAGTGACACTTTTACTTTATCCAAACCAATTTATATGTCTTTTACTTATTTTCCTTGTTTGATTACCATTTGTGACGTGGATAAATGTAGAAAGTATTATGCTAAGTGAGATTAGACAGACAGGGAAAGACATATCCCATATGCTTTCACTTATATAGGTAATCTAAAAAATTGAACAAATGAATAAACAAAACAAAAAGCCATAATGCAGGAAGAGATTCAATAATACATAGAACAAACTTGTGGCTACTGGAGGGGTGGAAGGGTGGCAGGAATGGGCAAAAATGGGTGAAGGGGAGTGGGATGTACAGGCTTCTATATAAACATAAAAAATATAGTCAACGTATTGTAATAACTTTGCATGGTGACAGATGATAGCTACACTTGTGGTGACTCTAGCATAATGTATCAAGTTGTCCAATAACCATGTTGTACATCTTAAAGTAATGCGACATCACCCATCAAAGATAATTCAATATAAAAAGGGGGAAAAGTGTGTCCTTTCTCCTGCTTATTGGCAATATCAAATTTAAGCTTGAGCTTGTTGGTTCTCTGAATACAGATGATGAGAGGATACTAACAAAATCCATTCTATTGACCAGATAAATATTATTGAAACCTGAGTATGTGCTGGGGCATTCAATAGTCTACACCCTGAAGGAACTTCAACAAATTAAGTGCATGATATTGGGGTTTCCCAAATATAGTTGCTTAATTCAAGAAATACATTTAGCCCATGTTATACATGAATCACAGAAATATTTTATTAAAATAAATAAATATAATAAAATAAATTTAATAAATATTAAATATTAATATTTTATTAAAGTCTTATGCTATTATGCTAAAACTGTTTTGACTGCAACCATGAATGTGAGAAAAATTGTACCAATTAAAGTATTCTTCATATTATCAAAAAAGGACAATTAAAGGTGAAGTAGGAATAGTAAATATAGAAGAGGGTAGAGCATTAATAGAAAAAATAGTGTCATTTATATGCTATGGTTATTAATTCTTGTCCTATAATTTCAACATCTTTATGAGGTCGGAAACTTTGTTTTCAGCAGCCCCTCCAAAAATAGTCCATGGTTCATGCTCTACTATCAATTACTATATTTTATGGGCCTGCTTCATATCCATGTGTTTTGAAAGTGTCCACTATCTTTCAGGTGAAGCTGGTAAGGAGACAGCATGGAGAAAAGGAATGAGACATTGAGCACAGACTTCATTCTCTTGGGCCTTTTCCCTGGAATTAAACATATTGACCTCCTTGTCTCTGCTGTCCTCCTCATCTACACCATTGCTATCACAGGAAACGCCACTTTGATTCTCCTGATCTGGGCAGATCCACACCTCCACACTCCCATGTATTTTCTGCTTAGCCAACTCTCTCTCATTGACCTGGCTTTCATCTCCAGCATAGCCCCAAAAATGATGGTTAACTTTTTCTCAGGAAAAAGGAAGATTTCCCTAATCAGCTGTGGGACCCAGATCTTCTTCACCTTGACCCTGGGGATTGCTGAGTGTCTACTCTTGACATTCATGGCTTATGACCGTTATGTGGCCATCTGCAATCCTCTCAAATACCCAGTTATTCTCAGCCTCCAGGTCTCCCAGAAAATGACCATTGGGTCCTGGTTGGGAGGGGCTCTGTCTTCCTTGGTCCACACAGCCTATGCCATGCACTTTCCCCTCTGTGGTCCCCGGGAACTCCATCACTTCTTCTGTGAGGTCAAGGCCATCTTGAAACTGTCTTGTGAGGACATCTCAGCCTATGAGAAGGGGGTAGTAGTTACCAGCATTGTTGTGGTTTTTCTCCCCCTAAGCTTCATCTTGACTTCCTATACTCTCATCTTCCTGCAGGTCTTGAATATAAACTCCCGGGAAGGCAGGAGCAAGGCCCTGGCTACCTGCTCCTCCCATCTGACTGTGGTCATCTTTTATTATGGCCCAGCCATGCTGATATATATGAGGTCTGGATCTTCCCATACCCCCATCATGAACCAGGCTCTCTTTATGTTTGACACCATCCTCACTCCCATGTTGAATCCTCTCATCTATAGTCTAAGGAATAGGGAGGTTGTAGCCTCAATGAAGAAGGTGCTGGGAAAGTGCTCCATTCACAATAGGTTTCCATGTTTCAATTGCTAGACAGAAAACTTCTTAGTTCAAATATCTCTGGGAGGCTTCAGGGTCTGATGAAACAATGGAACTCTGTTCCCATTTTCTCTCTTCAAATTTTGAGCTCATCTTATCCTTGCCTCCTGCTGTCTCATCTCCTCCTAATCTCTTTTAAGTAACAAAATCAACAAATTCTCTGGATAGAGAAAAAACAACACAAAAAGTCGACGACTTCTAAGAAGTCTAACTTACAACCAATTCTCTATGTGAATATGAGCTTTCACCTAATCCCCTCATCTTGCTTCATTTGTGTCAGTTGATAGAAGATCTCTCTTCCTTCCTTTAAATGTAGTGAAAAGATATAAGAAAATTGTAGTATGCTTGGGAAGAAAATAGAAAAGTTTTTGAGATCACAACTTCATTACACTTCATTTGTAACAAGCCTCCAGATGCCCATTAATTCCAGGTTGTGAGCCAATGAATAAAGCAAAAGTAAGTACTTCCTAACAATCATCACTTTTCTCCATCTGGTAACAAAATAAACCATGTCCATTAACCTCCCAAATATCATGAATATCTTTTTTTCCCTTAAATAGTTTATTGTCAAGTTGGTTTACATATAACCTCCAGTACTCAATCCCAACAAGTGCCCTCCTCCATGCCCATCACCCCCCTTCCCCCTACCCCACACCCCAGCCCTCAGTTTGTTCTCATCATTCAAGAGTCTCTCATGGTTTGCCTCCCTCTCTCTCCCCAACTATTTCCCCCCTTCTTCTCCCGCTTTGTCCTCCATTAATTTCCTCCTAATCCACCTATATGTGCAAATATATGGTATTTGTACTTCTCTGACTGAGTTATTTCTCTCAGCAATATCATGAATATTTTTATCCTGTTCTTCTTTTCTTTCCCTAATCTCAACAATAGTTACCTATGAATGTTCCAGCTCTACCCTCCTGTTTCATTGTGATTTATCCACAATCCTACCATTCCCCTGGTCAGAGACTCATCACTCATCAGTGGCCTCCCACATCCAATGAGGTAAATTATACATTCTCTTATGTGACATCAAGGCTCTGTATGACATGTCTCAGCGATTGTACCACCAATTCCACCATCTACTGTAGCTGCAGCACTGCTCAGTAGCTTGTAGCTTCTCCAGGAGTCATGTTCCTTCCAAACTCTGCTTCTTTCCACAGGCTGTTACTTCTACCTAGAAAGTTGTTTAACACCCAACTCTCCAGGTCCCACTCTCTGCCTGAACCCCCTTCCTTCAGATCTCAATTCAATACTTCTAACTCTGTGAAGCCTCCCCAGTTTCCTAGCAGGCTGACTTGGTAATAATACATCTCCCTCTTGCACTAACGACTCCTGTATAGATACAGGTCTATCTACAAGACCTTCCCACAAGTTCTGTAAATTGAAAAATGCTCACAATGTGTATTTGCTTAGTGGATTCATTAATGAACTTGTTTGGCAGAGCCAATATATTTCTCTCTTTCCAGATTCCCCTCTTTACCTTTTTTTCTGTGCTCCTTTCTCTTCTCCCTTACGTCTTTCCACATAAATCAACAGCAATAGTGATCTAAATTGTTTCTTTTTACTCATTGAACAGTTTTGAGCTTCCTATAATTTATTTTAAAAGCATGATGCCACTAAAATATGATTTTTTATATTTTAAGACAAAATCATTAAAATATTTTATACTAACAAAAATAATTATAAAAGTACTTTCTGTTTATTCTGTTTTTTATTCCTTATTGTTTTCAGAGAAAGTGGAGTAAAAGATATCTGTGTCAATTAATAACATTAAACATTATGTAAAAATAAAACTGATTATTTAAATTTAGAATTTCTAGACAGAAAATAACACCTTGTTAATTGCTAATGCACTTAAGACGAGGTCAACATTTCCAAAATAGTCTTCCACTAAACCAAAGAGTCTAGGGTATCAGTAAAGATAATGGAACAAAACAAGCTCTTGGTCAAAGTACAGAAGACCTGAGATTAAAAAAAAAACAAACCTGGAGATTTCCTTTTTAATGTAACATTTTCAGGATCTTTAATATGTTAATAAGTGCTCCTTAGCTTAAGATAGGGTGAACAATGTTTTGCCAAACATTTTTCAAACTGTCTTGCAAAATGCGTTCAGGAATATTTGAGTCTGAATTAACTCCCACAGTTATGCTCTTCCAATGTGATCAGAGAAAAGGCTGACAAATGAAGCTCTAACATTTTAGTGATGAGACACCTAAAGGTTGGATGAATATAATGTTATATCCTTTTATACCATGTTAATAAAATATCCAGAATTTGGAATGATCAGCTATATGCTGTTTAAAAGAGACTCATTTTAAATCTGAAGACACCTTCAGATTGAAATTGAGGAGGAGAACTGTCTATCATGCTACTGGAAGTCAAAAGAAAGCTGGAGTAGTCACACTTATATCAGACAAACTAAAGACTGATTTTAAACTAAAGACTATAACAAGAGATGAAGAAGGGCATTATATAATAATGAAGAGTCTATCTACAAGAAAAGCTAAGAATGATAAATGTTTACGCCCCTAACTTGCGAGTCACAAATATGTATATATATTAATTATACATATAATTAATAATAATATGTTATAATATATAATAATTATAATTATATTATAATATATAATAATATATATTAAATATACATTAAATTATATATATAATTAATCACAAACATAAGTAATCTTATTGATAATAATATGGTAATTGTAGGCGACTATAATACTCCACTTATAGATGGACAGATCATTCAAGCAGAAAATCAATAAACAATGGCCCTGAATGATACACGGGACCCAATGGGCTTGACAGATATATTCAGAACTTTTCATCCAAAAGCAGCAGAATGCAAATTCTTCTCAAGTGCACATGGAACAGTCTTCAAAATAAATCACACAATGGACCAAAAAACAGCATTCAACAAGTATAATTTAAATCATACCATACATATTTCCATATCACAACAGTATGAACCTTAAAATCAACCACAAGAAAAAATTTGGAAAGCCTCCACATGCATGGAGGTTAAAGAATATCCCACTAAGACCGAATGGGTGAACCAAGCAATTATGGAAGAAATTTAAAAATATTTGGTATCAAATGAAAATGAAAACGTTACAGTCCAAACCCTTTGGGATGCAGCAAAGACAGTCCTAAAAGGATAATACATTGCAATCCAGGCCTATCGCAAGAGAAAAGAGAAATCCTAAATACAAAACCTGAAGGAGTAATTATACTGTTTTCATGATTATTTTCTAGTACTAGGATGTACAAATGTGTTGGCAGTTAAAATTGCTGTTGACTTATATATATTTTTTAAAAGACACAGTAATAAGACAATGAAGAATTGCTGTTAAGTTTCTTTGAATACATTTATTCCCAATTCTATATCACGACAGTTTTCGGACATAACTCCTTTCTTAAGTTTTACTTGCACCATCTTTGTCTACAAGGAGATGGCACACAATGCCAAAAACAGAGGAACAAAGCCAACATTTTAAATTAGATGATACATAATGCTATGGAAGGATTTGCACAAATGTGCATATTTGTATAGGGAAAAAGTAATATGACAGATAAAGTGTACAAAACAACTATAATATTCCTTTAATCAGTCTACTGACTAACAAAGTGCTGATGCATAGGGGCACATGTACCCCAATGTTCATAGCAGCACTCTCCACATTAGCTAAAACATGGAAAGAGCCTAAGTGTCCATCAACAGATGAATAGATCAAGAAGATGTGGTTTATCTATACCATGGAATACTACATGGCAATGAGAAATAATGAAATCTGGCCATGTGTAGCAACATGGATGGACCTTGAGGGTGCTATGCTGAGCGAAATAAGTCAGGCAGAGAAGGACAAATACCATATGTTTGCACGTATAGGAGGCTTAGGAGGAACCTAACGAAGGACCATGGGGGAGAAGAAGGGGAAAAATAGTGGGGGAGAGGGAGGGAGGCAAACCATGAGAGACTCTTGAATGCTGAGAACAAACTGAGGGCTGATGGGGGGGGGGGGGGGGGGGGGGGGGGATGGGCATGGAGGAGGGCACTTGTGGGGATGAGCACTGGGTGTTATATGGAAACCAACTTGACAATAAACTATTCAAAAAATAAAAATAAAAAAAAATAAAACAAATTACAAGGTCCATAAGAACCAGTCCAGGGCATCCTAGGCGAGTCCCAGTGGTTAGAGCCATAAAATTTTCAATCCTTGCCTGAGTAAGTAACTTGATTAATGATCTGTGAATACCTAAGGATAAATATGGACATAGGTGGTTAATCCGAAAGTAGTATACATGCAGAAATTCCAGGTCCCATCAGTTGTTGGACATTGGAAACCATTTTCACTATTGAAATAATCTATATCACACTACAAAGACATGTTGGGGGGTTCTTACTAACTAAATATACTGAACTTGTATCTTTAAGAGATGATAGCAATTTTGTGCCAAGCAATGTAATATAAAATGACCAAAATCAATATTCTTCATTAGTATTGCTTATCCTATCAGATTGATGACTAAACATAATATTTAAATAACAATGGATACCAATTCATTAATCTCTCTCACATTCAAATATACTCCCGTATAGGGGCGCCTGGGTGGCTTAGTCGGTTAAGCGTCTGACTTTCGCTTAGGTCATGATCTCGCGGTTTGTGGGTTCGAGCCCCGCGTCAGGCTCTGTGCTGACTGCCAGCTCAGAGCCTGGAGCCAATTTCAGAGTCTGTGTCTCCCTCTCTCTCTGACCCTCCCCTGCTCACGCTGTCTCTCTCTCTCTCTCCTAGAAAAAAAAAAAAAAAAAACAAATATACTCCCGTATAATAAACGCATCACTGATTTGCATTTATTCGAGGTTCAGGAATAGACGCAAACCAGTGGTGCAGTTATACAGCAAAAGCAGTAACACTGTATATTTTCTCCAATGATCTTCCAGATTAAGCAAGTAGACTAAGAATGGAGCAAAGAAATGTATCTACCAC